TTGAGGCATAATAATGAGTTGGTGATACCATGAAGCAATCTGTTAACTAATCAGGGGATGAGGTGGTAGTGTATCGAAAGTTTGTGCCGCTCGGTGGTGTGTGCCGCTCGGTGGTGGATTACGTTAACCCTAGTAAATACTAGTAACCCACTGGTAATTACCAGTCATCTACCTGGTGACCTGGCAACCTGGCGACCTGGCGAGCCGATCACTCCAGGTCTAGTCCCTAGCCTGGGGAAGCATCAGTGAAATGCAGTACCATTTTGATCCGTCTTAGCTTACCTTTCAGCCTTATTGCGAGTGATCACCTTCCCCAGATCTGATGAATGATGACATGATATTCTCTTAACTTTTGCGATGTCTTTGGGGAAGGATGGGGACATCTTTACTAAAATCTGACGGTTCTATAGATTGGGAACGATATGAATACATATATAGTGCTTCATGTCTCTAACCTATCTGACGATACGCTGTTACAGTGATATAGCTCAGTTGCATTCCTGACTCCCTCGTCCGGCTGTGTGTTATATGGTTCTATATCTGCTTCATTCCCATGCATAAGAACATCTGACAGACATTTCCGGTCAACATTCAAGACATTTTCAGACCTAAACCAGTCCATGGAGTTGCAAGAATTCAGACTCGTCATCCGAGTGGAAGTCAACAACGGGGCCGTTGGGTTCTTTGCAACGACGAAAACCATCATAGTGGAGCAAACGAGAGGTAATCTTCTAGGAAGCATAGTGAAGCAGCTGATCCTGTTCGATGATTCTATCGATATACCGCCTAGGCTCAGAAACGCATACAGGAACCAACTTCCTCAGTGCGAGAGGACACTGAAAGAGGCATTTCAGGAATTACTCATGAAGTATGACCGGACATACCTGATCGTTGATGGGTTCTACCAATGCTCAGACGACGTTCCAGCGATTCTGAAGGAGTATCCTCTAGAACTTATTAGGAAAGGATTTAGATTGAGCCTTCTCACGACGTCTCCTGGTTACTGGCAGGTAGCCAGGGTTATTAGCTGCAATCACTGCGGCAGGGAAAAGCTGAACATCTTCTTCCATTGCCACTGCGATGACAACGACTTTGATCTTTGTCTGCAATGCAAAGAAAAGGGAATCACCTGCGCTCGTCACCACGATGGGCAAGAGACCTACGACACAGTCCGCTTAGAGGTGCGCGCTCGAGAGTGCGAAATCGAACTGTTTTGTCGCAGCAAACTCACCCAGGCCTCGAGTCCCGGTCCTGGCCAATGCGATGAGCGCCTGTATCCGTCCCCGCCGTACAAAGCTTCGGGTGTTGCGCGATACCTGTGCCGTAGGCCCGGACTGATTGATGGAATTGCCGAGAAAATCGCAAGGAAAGCGCAGGGAAACTTCCTCGTTGCCCAAGCTTGGATCCAGGCCTTGTTGGAAAGGGTCAAGGAGCCAGAGAACTGCGAACAGCTACTCGCCGACCTGGACTGCATGCCGTTCGCCGTGTTAAACGGATATTACAACACAAAAATCGAGAATGTGAAACGTTACAGGACGGGACGCGATATCCCGTTGGCATTCATGACATTTTGCGTGATTATGTCGGCTTGTCGGCCGATGACCGTATTGGCACTGCAGCATGCATTGGCCCTTGCGAGTGATCTCGGCGTAATTCGAGACTCGAATCTAGACCATCGAGTTTCCATCCTGAGGGCAACAAATGGGTTGATCACCATCGACATGGCTGACGAGGGGAATTCTTTTGTGCGATTCATCCACGCTACTCTGTCGGGAGTCCTGGCCGAGAGTGATCAGGATCCGTCCCTGAAGGCTGCGGAGTCGAAGATGGCATTCCTTTGTCTGATGTACCTCAAGCATGATGATTTCTCAGAACACTCTGCGAATATCGCGGCGTATCCGTTCTTGTCCTATGCTTTGGAACACTGGGGAGACCATGTTCGCAAGGCATGTTCAAAGCATGATCGTGAGGTCGAGAACGAAGCGCTGGAATTTCTGGCAAACCCTGATCACGTCAGGATAATAGCTCGAGAAGCCGCGGGGTTGAGCCCAGGGATGCCGTCGACCTGGATCCACGAGGGCATCGACGCTCTTCACCTCTGTGCTTGGTTTGGCTTAACGAGTATAATGAACAGGCTGTGTAACCAGGGTCGTGATATCAATATGGCCGATAGCAAACACCGACGCACTCCTCTGCGGTACGCATGTGTCAAGGGTCATGTGGACACTGTGCAGATGTTGGTATCGAAAGCGCTGGTAGACGACAAGGCAGCCATCGACGCCATATCCGGATTACCTGGGACAGAACGTTCATATCGCGAACAGGAGGATCGAATGACAATTGTAAAGATACTGTTGAAAACCCGGAATCTTACTCTCAATGCCGGGCTTGGCCACAAGAATACAACAATCCTCATGTTTGCAGTGAGACTCGGTTATTACGACTTCGTCGAAAGGCTGTTGGAGGAACCGTTAATCGACGTCAACATTCGAGACGCGGATGGTTATACCGCATTATGGCTCACCGTGGGTGCGTGTCCGGCACCACTAATCCCTCTGAGATCCAACCAGACCAACCTGCGCCATGGTCTCGTCGGATTGATGTTGCGACACGGGGCCGACCCGAACATGAGGTACCAGACTAGAAGGACGGTTTTAACCCACGCAATCACAATGGGCCAGTTAGATGCTGTCGCTACTTTACTTGAATGTGACCGACTCAAACTGCAATCTGAGAAGGATTTGATTCACATTGCCAGCGCCAGCGGATACCCAGAGATCATCCGCTTGCTACACTCTGCCATGCTGGACAAGGGACTCTCTGATATAGATGCACGCGACGAGCACGGATTGACACCACTTCACCACGCCAGCTTATCCAGCAGCAAGCAGGCAGGTGTCGCAGCAAGGACGTTGCTCGAATTGGGCGCAAATCCCAACATCAGCGACGACAGGGGCTGTACGCCTTTTACAATCGCATCCCTACTGGAAAGGACAGACGTCATGCAAGCCATAGGGCGAGGGAAAACCTCACCTGATCCCGAGGCAAAAACGCTCAAGGATGTCCCTGCATTAACCCTCGCCAAACACGGCTACTGGTCAATAATTCGAGAACTAATTACCGCCGGAAGACCCGACCTCGCACACAGGGACATCGTAACCGGCAACACCCTCCTGCACATCGCGACGTCCGCCGATCAGCTTGATATCCTGCGCATGCTGCTTACATCAAGCAGAATCCGGCCAGTTTGCGATGCCAACAACCGTGGGCGCACACCACTTCATCTGGCGAGAAGCGTCGACGCTACCAAGCTACTAGTCGAGTATGGTTGCGGTATTGACGATGCGGATATCAACGGCGACCCGTCCTTGGGCCTGACTCGCAGAAGGCTTACAGAGTTGCGAGTTGAGCGTTATCTGGTTGAAGCCGGGTTTAGAATTTGGACTGTATTCTTTTTCTTTTTTGCTGCGTTGAAGTCGGCCCCCTATAAGCATCCTTCAGGCACTATGTCATGAGGGAAGAAAGGTAATCCCTCCTATGGGCCATGGCAAGCCCTTCGGAGAAAACTGAAAAGATGAAAAATATTACATGTAAAAGAAGTGGTGTGTCTCTCGTTATATCTCTTAGAGTTATTACTTATAATCTAGACATATAGATAACCCCTTACCCCCTTAGCAATGGAATTCCCTTACACCACCTCTCTGTATAATAGTCTCAAGATAACACAAGATGCACTTTGACTGTTTTATCCTCTACAAATTCCACCCAATCAACATGACACTATATTCCATCCGCCGTCAACAATATCCAGGACTGACACTGACACTGACAGCAAGCCACATACATCACTGGAATGCACGCAAAGCCCAAACCAAACACTCCTTGCTTTGACGCTTACCCTATATAAATGCCTCTATCAACTACTCTCAGCACAAGCACAACTCCCCTTGTATTTCGAATTATTCCCAGGAACTCATCAGCAAAAGCAAAATGTACCTCACCACCGTCACCCTAACCACCCTCCTCACCCTCACCCTCACCCTCACCGCAGCAAAGAACACAATGCCAACTGTACATCCCCTCCCACTCTCCATTACATTCCGGCAAGAAACGCACTAAGTGTACTTTCAGGTCATAATGCAAATGCAGAACCACGGGGTCTCGGTCCTTAGCGGTTTACCGGGGAATTGCATCACTTATTCTGTGGATGGGTACGTCTACGCTGCGCTGCGCAGACCAGTGACAGAAAGGAGTGCGAGTGCTGAAGCTAATGATGCGCTAGGCCCGTGGACGCAGTCGAGATTAACATGCCTTGTCGGTTTTATGAGTGAGTGCTGCCTGCCTGCGGGTGCTGTGCTGATATGGATTGCTATCATGCAGTGAGATGAACTATGCCGGGAATGGGAGGGATGTTTTGCCTGGGATGGAGACG